GTGACAGCAGCGTGGGGGTACACATTTAGATAATATTATATTCGCCAAATAAATTTCCAAGAAACTGTTTTTGAATTAAAAGTAAAGGATATATTTAATTAATTGTATTTCTCATTTTATTTAACTGTCAAATACTCGGTACCCTTACTGGACACCCGGTATAGTCGGTTGGACGTACGTGATTGTGGCGTATCAAAATATATCACACCACTTCTTCCCGAAGTTGTCGTAGCAGACTTTGGGAAATGCTAGAAAATTGTGGCTTCCGATATATGGCGTTAAACCATCTCACTTACGATAGACCTAAAATATTCAGACTAAAGATGGGTAGCAGAATCAAAGTGACATATGGAACTCCGATCGTCAATCCACTTGTTAAAACAACACGACTAAAAATAAAACATCTAAAATACATTTTATTTATACTTTCTAATTTCAGTAATTCAGAAATGTTTTAAAATAAATAATAAATATTACGAATTTTATTTTTTTATTCCAATGTAGGATCTCTTAAAAACGATTATTGAAATAGTATGTTGCAAACTTTCACAAAGTTATATTTCGGCAAGGCGGATGTGACTAATGCCAAAATATTTGACATTAGTAATGGCATTTGAACTTATAATAATAAAATTACATAGCATACAAACGAAACCGCTTAACTAAATTTTCCGTTGACAAAACAATAATTTTGAAATTCTGTTTTGTTTGACCAAAACTTTTCTAAATTGCTTTGTCAACTTAAATAACTTCAATATGAATTTAAAGAGGATTTTAAAATCCTGAATATTTCGCGTTATATTGTTCTATTTACTAACATAAAAACTATGAGTAGTGAAAAGCAATAATAGTCTTTTTTTTAATTAGGATTGTTTAAACCTTGATATATTGTTTAATTTTTCAAACATCCGGGCTTTTTTATGATATTTTACATCACTGCGGGTCATCACCTACGTAGTACAGAATTATATTGCCCCAGTATATGGGCAGTCATAGGTGCACTCTCATAGTCCAATGGTACGGCAATCCGACACGACCGCAGCGGGTGATATCAGGCGCAGGACCGACGGCTTTACGTGTTTTCCGAGACACTTAAATGAAACATTGACAACTTTTAGAATTTTTGACAGAAAAACCCTATAACTAATTTTTTTCAGATCTGGTATTCGAACCCGAGACCCCATGATTAACAGTCACGCTAACAGCCACTAAGCCAATAAGACAGTCCGTTGGTTCCATTATATGTATATATAGATATATAAAATAAGAATAAGAAGCGAGCACGTAGTACGTAGTTCACCTAATGACAAGCGGATGCTGTGCCCCATATCTACAGGGCCCAGCATTAGATCTATCCTCGATTTTGAATCAAAATACAAACGCGTATCCGATTCTATATATTCACGCCGGTATTCTGTGAAAGCGTGGTTCTTCGCCGGTCGAGCCGACATATTCATGCTGCGGCTATAATGCAGCTTCAGCATGGCTTTAGCATGTAAATAGCTATTTATATATGGTAACTATTGGCAAATCTTCCAAGAACTACAATCCTGTTGGCGCAATTTGGCAAAGGTTATCCCGTAGTGGAATTGAAGAGGCTATTTATTAAAAGAAAGGAAAAAAGATTGACTTATTAATGCGAGCACACGTACTATCTTTAAGTTCCAATTTCAAACTCTTCCCTTGCTTTCAAACCGACTCGTGGAATTTACGTATAAATCTTTTAAAAAGATGGCTTCCTTTGGAGTTCACAATAAAGTTGCATAAACAGGTGATGCATTTTACAAGAGGAGCTAGCAATCCGACGCTGGATGCTGCATAAAATGAAATATTCAGATTTGTGCTTAAACCTCTTTTAAAGACGGTATTTGAAGATTGACGGTGCAATATCTTCCGCTGTGCTTTGTAAATGGAACTGTAGGTTTTAGTACGTGGCATATTTTAATATATTAAAAGAACAAACTTTAATGTACTAAATGGACAAGACTTTATTATATTGAAATAAAAACTAGTATACTAATAGGACAAGCCTTATGTACTCTAATCTAGCATTATTTTATAAAACTGAAGTCACAAGCTAATTTACAGACATCTGCAGCCAACTTCTAAGATAGAAGGTTACAGATGTGTTTTCAGCTCTGAGGACTAAGATGGAATACTTTATTATCATCATCATCATTACAGCCCTTCACAAGACCACTGCCGAAAATAGGCCAAGTCCAAGAATGCTACAAAGCTAGGTACCGAGTTTCCTGCATCTATTGACTTCCTGCACGTCACTCCATCTAGTGGTGGGATGCCCTACACTTTGCCTGCCGGTACTAATTTGCCACTCAAGAACTTTTCTACGTCATCGGTTATAGGTTTTTCGAGCTATACGACCAGCCCATTGCCACTTCAGCTTACTAATCCGTTGGGCTATGTCGGTTACTCTGTTTATACTGCGGATAGCATAAAGGTGACAAACGAGTATACAGTCCACCTGATGGTAAGTGGTTGCTGCGGCCCATAGACATTTACAGCTATCTTCGATTACGAATCAAAATGCAGATGCGTTGTCACGTTTCCAGTAAAAAGGCTCTCCGGTTCTCTACACTCACCATACGAAACACAGCAGCGTTAAGCTGATATTTTACCCTGGTATTCTGTGAGAGCGTGGTCCGTCCCCGGTCGAGCCGACCCATTCGTGCTTCAACTATCTACTAATATAGCTGCAGCATGGCTCTACCACGTAAGCTTTATTTAATTAGACCCCATTTGGACTTGTAGTTGTTATAGCTGGCTCGTTTGCTCGACTCTATATGAAAATAATTACGTTTTATCGTTAGTATCACGATTTAATTACTTCTAATATCGCCATCATAAAGCAACCTATAACATATTTCTTGCTAAAAAAAACAAATTAAAAAAAAAAACTAGTCAGCATATTTTTGCAGTAAGAATGGATTAGATCAATCGGGTAAGAATGGGGAAGAAAATTTTGATTTTTCCTTATAATCACGATTGTTTTCTGCGCTGTAGATAGTAAATATATTAAGCGCGCTCTAATGGTAATAAATCGGACTGATCGATGGATCTGATTAGCATTTGGGTCCATTTGTTTCACATGCTACGAATACAAAGCCTGTTTGTTCAAAGCTCGCATACACTGTTCTGTTAATATTGGAAATGCGAATGAACGTGCCGATTTTGTTTGAGACTATCAAACCAAGATACTTCATTATTGTGTTTGCTTCATCTATACATATAAACAAAATTGAATCGTGTGTCTATAATGTTAAAATAACTAGCTTTTATTAAGCTTAGGGGTTATTTACATGCTATGAAGACATAAATAACCATTATAAAAAAAAATTGTCAACATTTAAAGATAGAAAGTAATGCCAGGAGAGATCTAGGCTATATTTTATCAGAAAAACTGGAAAAACAAAAAATTGATAAAATAAATGACTTTTGGTTATCTTATATCTAAATAACGCCACATTAATAGATCCGATCCAGGCGAACTTTTTTATAGGATAGGGTGACAAACAAGCACACAGTCCAGTTGATGGTAAGTGGTTGCTGTGGCCCATAAACATCTACATGTATCCTCGTTTGAGATTGAAAATGCAGATGCGTTGTCACCCGTAAGGACTAAGATGGAATGCCTCTTTTCCAGTAAAAAGGGCTCCGGTTCATATGATACACAGCAGTGTTAAGCTGTTATATTATGCTGGTATTCTGTGAGAGCGTGTAAGGGGTAAAAAAAAAGAGGTGTAAAGGTGTAAGGGGCTCCGCTAAGATCTTGGAGCCCAAGCCAACCCCGCCTGCACGTGGCGCACCTGCTGGACAACGGAAAGGGCTCTGGCGATGCCACTCCTCTGGGATTCGTCCTAGGGGTTCGGGGGTCAGACGGCAGTCGCCCTGGTAATTGGCACTAAGCCACTCAAAAATGGACGGTAAAGGAAAGATAAATACGTTTAGGGCTAGGGCGTCGCCGCATAACGACGCGCATGGGGATCGCCTTAACCCTGCGACAAGTATGCGAGGGCTACCGGGCCTCCGTGCGAGCCCGGCTAAAGACGTTAGCACCAACTACGAAGATTCGCTTTGCAAACTGGAACATTGGCACGCTTACGGGACGCTCCGCAGAACTTGCGGCCATACTTGCCAGGCGTAAAGTGGCAGTGGCATTCCTGCAGGAGACACGGTGGAAGGCCAACAGGAGCCGGAATATTGGGCACGGCTACAAGCTGATCTATACAGGCTCCTCTGGTGGAGAGAACGGTGTGGCAGTGGTGCTCGCCGAGCGTTTCCACGATAGCGTCTTGGAAGTTAGACGCATATGCGACCGACTTATGGTAGTAAGGTTGCTTATTGAGGGGGTCGTGACCCACTTAATAAGTGCCTACGCCCCACAGGTCGGCTGCAGCGACGCCGATAATACGCTGTTTTGGGATCGTCTCGGAGATGTACTACGCGGCATACCGTTGTACCACGATGTCGTTTTGGGTGGCGACCTGAACGGTCATGTGGGCGAGGTGCAGGGGGAGTATGAACGTGTCCACGGCGGCTATGGTTACGGCAGAAGAAACGCAGAGGGGGAAACCATTCTCAGAACCTGCACTGCAGCTGACCTGGCCGTGGTGAACACGTTCTTCAAAAAGAAAACCGAGCACCTGATTACCTACAGGAGCGGTCGGAACGCCACTCAAATCGACTATCTACTGACCAGGAGAAGTCATATCAGTCGCGTGGCCAACTGTAAGGTCATACCCGGTGAGTGTCTCACTGCCCAACACCGACTTCTTGTCATGGACCTCTGCGTAAAACCCCGTCGCAGACACGCCGAACGTTGCCGCCGTCAAATCAAGTGGTGGCTGCTGGATCAAACCAGATACTCAGAGTTTGACTCTGCCGCTGGGGATATTAGTCTCGACACAGCAGGCAAGTCCGTCCAAGAGTGCTGGAAAACCATTCAGACAGCAATCACAAAGACGGCAAAGCAAGTTCTCGGCATGGCGAAAGGGGGCCGCAAAATCGACAAGGAGACCTGGTGGTGGGATGCCACAGTCCAGGGTTCATTACGGGAAAAGAAAGCGCTCTTCAAGACGTGGCAAGTGACCAAATCTCCTGAAGATCGCGCATCTTACAAGACAGCGAAAAGAGCTGCCAAGAAAGCTGTAGCTAGAGCCAGGCGTGACCACTTGCAACCATTATATGCTAAGTTGGACACTCCTGAGGGGCACAAGCTCATATATAAACTGGCGCGCTCTAGGGCCAAAGCAGCGCAAGATATTACTCGCTGCTGCAGCGTCAACGGCCCTAATGGCGAGCTCCTGTACGATGATCGTGCGGTGAAGGAGAGATGGCGCTCTTATTTCCACGTTTTGCTGAATACTCAGCACCGGGAAGTGCACCCTCCCGAACAACTCCCGAACCATGGACTCGTGCCACCAATTACACCTGACGAGGTCCTCGCATCTCTTCGTCACATGGAGAATCGGAAAGCTGTCGGACCGGACGAGGTGCCAATTGAAGCGTGGAAAGCGCTGGGGGCTCGTGGTGTGTGCATTCTTACTAACCTTTATAATAGAATCCTGAGCGACCGAATAATGCCCGATCAGTGGCGGCTTAGTATAATAACGCCGGTCCACAAGGGTAAAGGGTCCGTTCAGGATTGCGGTAATTACCGCGGTATAAAGGTGATGTCACACACCATGAAGCTCTTCGAGCGCATTATTGACGCCAGGATCCGACAGGAGTGTACAGTGTCGGACTTCCAGTACGGTTTCCAACCAGGACGCGGTACCATGGACCCTATATTCGCCCTAAGGATCCTCATGGAGAAGCACAGGGAAAAGAATATGCCTCTGCATTTTTTATTCCTAGACCTGCAGAAGGCCTTTGACTGTGTTCCTAGGGAGATGATCTGGTGGGCGTTGCGGTCGAAGTTGGTACCAGAGACCTACGTGGAAATCGTACGTGACTACGACGACGCTACTACTACTACGTACCGCAACTCCGATTCAATAGTCAGGACCGCTGTTGGTGATACCACCCCCTTCCCCATAACCATAGGCATGCATCAGGGCTCCGTCTTAAGCCCCTATCTCTTCAGTGTGATATTAGACGAACTGTCAGCCAGCGTACAGAAACTACCGCAGCCTTGGCTGCTTATGTACGCTGATGATATCGCACTGCTAGATAAGGACAAAGGACGGCTCACCAGACGCGTGCACGCATAGAGGGAGGCGCTTGAGAACGGCGGGCTGAAGCTAAACGTGGCGAAGACGGAGTATATGGCCTGCAACAGCACAGATCTGACGTCTCTCCGTATAGGCGACGACACCGTCGAGCGCACGGACAACTTCAGGTACCTCGGATCTGTGCTTGATGCGTCCGGTGACATCGATCGCGACATCAAGGCCAGTATATCAGCGGCTTGGGCGAAATGGCGCGAGGTGACGGGTGTCATTTGTGACCCCAAAATGCCGGTCAAGCTGAAAGGACAGGTCTATAAGACCATCATAAGGCCTGTCCTTACGTACGGCAGTGAGGCGTGGCCGGTGCTGGAGCGACACCGGCGGTTGTTGCATGTCACGGAGATGAACATGCTGCGGTGGATGTGTGGCGTCACACGGAAAGACCGTGTACGGAATACATACATCCGCGGCAGCCTCCATGTCCGTGACATTGCTGACAAGCTGCAGGAAAGTCGCCTCCGCTGGTACGGCCACGTCTTACGACGACCAGCAAGCTACGTGGGAAACAAATACCTGGACATGACCTTACCTGGTGCCAGGAGTAGAGGACGGCCCAAGAAACGCTGGCTTGATGTCGTGCAGGATGACATGCGCGCCAATGGGCTAGTTGTGAGGGACGCCGAAGACCGGGCAAAGTGGAGGAGGAAGTGTCGGAAAGCGGACCCTGGGTTCTCCCGCGCTGGGCGGGATGAGCAACCGGGATAACGCTAGGTAGAAGGAGAAGAAGAAGATTCTGTGAGAGCGTGGTCCTTCCCCGGTCGAGCCGACCCATTTGTGCTACAACTATACTACTAATATAGTTGCAGCATGGCTCTACCACGTAAAAATCTTTCTGATAACAACGCAAAATAATAAAAAACTACAGTTGTCATAAGGCAATCTATGACGGAAGCCTATGTTCATCAGTGGATTGGAGTAGATATTTATATGCTTAAATGGGAATGGATCTAGGCAAAGCCGGTGTGGCTAGTTAATTGTTTAAATAAAACAAAAGCTCTTTTTAAAGAACTAAAATCTTTACATATTCTAATGAATACTATTTTGGCGATATAAGGAAAGGGGGTGATCTCCCTCCGGGCAAGGTATATGCATTGAGCATGCATAGTTGTACAGAGCTTGTTCTATATAATATATGGAGTCATTCAGTAACTAGATCCTTTTTACTGGAAACGAGGCATCCCATCTCAGTCGTCAGGAGTGGCAACGCATCTGCATTTTAATTCTTAATCGATAATTATAGATCTAGATGTCTTATTCGCCACAGCATCCATTAACCATCAGGTATTGTTTGTCACCCTTATTCTATATTATAAAAAAACTACGAAAGTGTGATACGGCCTGGGCGTCATTATCAAGGGAGCACCACGTGTGATACTTATTTTAAATTTCCGAGGTTTCGAGTGCTATGTAGCATTTATAGTTACGGGAGCACTGAGTTTTTTGACGTCTTCATATCATAGTAGCTAGCCCAGGTTATAAATCTAGAACTACATCAGAAATACATTAGATTACCTACTATACAGGTGGGACTGTAGGCAAACACTGGGTTATGAATGAAAGAAAAGGAAGGACAAACTTTCTCACTCGAGGCGCTTGGGTGGCTAAAAATGGCTCTGTATTTAAGGGGGTCTGAGTGAAAAGCGTTTAGCGGAGTGTAAGACCAAGCAGTGTGTTCAGTATATTATGTATTAAGCGGCCGGCACTCAGAAAACTGTAATACAAGAGCGTAAATAAGTCAATAAGTGATCCTCTTGTATCATAAATAAATGTGTGTGTGTGCGTGCGTGCGTGTGTGCGTGCGTGGGTGTGTGTGTGTGTTCGTGGGTGCGTGTGTGTGCGCGCGCGCGCGTGTGTGTATGTGTGTGCGTGTGTGTGTGTATGTGTGTGTCTGTCTGTGTGTGTACGTGTGCGTGTGCGTTTTCGAGTGCGTGTGCGTTTTCGTGTGCGTGTGCGTTTGCGTATGCGTGAGCGTGTGCGTGTGCGTGTGCGTGTGCGTGTGCATGTGCGTGTGCGTGTGCGTGTGCGTGTGCGTGTGCATGTGGGTGTGCATGTACGCGTGCGTGTGCGTGTGCAGATGCGTATGCATCCACGTGGGGGGAGCATATGCGTGTGCGAATGCGAGTGCGAGTGCGTGCGTGTACGTGTACGTGTACGTGTGCATGTGCGTGTGCGTGTGTGTGTGCGTGTGCGTGTGCGTGTGCGTGTGCGTGTGCGTGTGCATGTGCGTGTGCACGTGCGTGTGCGCGTGCGTGCGCGTATGCGTGTGCATGTGCGTGTGTACGTGCATGTGCGTGTGTAAGTGCGTGCGCGTGTGCGTATACGTATTTTAGAGGGGGGGGGGAGGGTGCATGTACGTGTGCGTGTGCGTGTGGGTGTGCGTGTGCGTGTGCGTGTTCGAGTGCGTGTGCGTGTGGGTGTGCCTGTGCGTGAGCGTGTGCGTGTGCGTGTGCGTGAGCGTGTGCGTGCGTGTGTGCGTGTGCGTGTGCGTGTGCGTGTGCGTATGCGTGTGCGTGTGCGTGTGCGTGAGCGTGTGCGTGCGTGTGTGCGTGTGCGTGTGCGTGTGCGTGAGCGTGTGCGTGCGTGTGTGCGTGTGCGTGTGCTTGAGCGTGTGCGTGTGCGTGTGCGTGTGCGTGTGCGTGTGCGTGTGCGTTATTGGCTAATAAAGAGTTATGAGGAAACACACATAAATAAAAACATGCATAATTGATTATCTCCTCCTTTTTGAAGTCGGTATAAAAAGACAACCAAACAGTATTCTACGACAAAACAACAAGATATTATTTAATCAATGAACATAAAGTCGAAATTGCTACCTATGATGGCTACAACTTATGTATTCGAGTCGCGTAACCGCATTACTTCACCAGAACTTTTAGCCCAGGTTTTGTTCCACAGTCGCCGGTTTTTTGGTCAATATAGAAAAACTTTTAATATTTGAGCTGTGTTCTTCCGTAAACACTTTAGTTGAGCATTCAATAATTTTACTTTCAGTTACTAATGTAATTCAAAGTTCTTATAAAACAATGTAGGTATTTTAAATTTTTTAAAAGTTTGTTAGATTTAAATCAGATCAAAACTTTTTATGCAATTTAGTCTTGTTTTGAACTTTTTTATTATCATAGAAGCTCAAAGCGAACCTATATTATACAAAAATGTTACGGGGTAGAGCCTTGTTTTCCGTGGTAGAGACATGCTGCAGCTATCTTAGTAGTATAGTTGTAGCACGAATGAGTCGGCTCGACTAGTGACGGATCACGCTTTCACAGAATACCAGCGTAAAATAGCAGCTTAACGTTGCTGTGTTTTATATAGTGAGTTTAGAGAACCGGAGGCCCTTTTCACTGGAAACGAGGCATTCCATTTTAGTCCTCACTGGTGACGGCCTTAAAATGGATTTGCCAGTGTAGAGTAAAAGTTCGAATGTTAAAGGAAAGGCAAAGAGATTGAATGTCTAATGTCTATCGTATAGAAGTCTATTTAGTTTTTCACCATGAACATCGAAATACTCGATTTAGTACTTAATCTAAAAGCTTCCTCACAGAAGCAATTTTTTCTTCATTATAGTTTTGCATAAAATTAATAAAATAACTTTATACTTAAATAAAAAATAAAAAGTTTTATTTTTCAGGCATCGTAGGACCATAGCATGCAAGTAATACAAATAAAACTTTAAAAGCTACGTTTGTTAACGAACCATATAAATAAAGCAAGACAGAAATCCACAACAATTTAGGAATTTATCAAGCGCCATGTAGTATATGTAGCTTGACAGGTTACCCAGTGTCAGGCCATCTTGTCTCTCTGCAAAGACCCTCAGCGTCAGGACAGGATTTGGAATTATAATTGCAAAGAAGCGCATAAAATATACACGCATGATTGTGAGCATGCGATAACCACAATCGATTTAGTAGTTTTATTAGCACCATTCGAACAAGGGATTTATTTTCCAATTAATCAAGGAATGAAGATCCTTCTGTTCTGCGTCATCAATTGAATGGATTCCTTGGTGAAATTATCTACGCTGTGCGCGCTAGTACTGCACTTTATTGGATTAAATCAAGCTTTGATGTCAGCCCGTCGAAGTGACTTATTTGCAGCTTCCTGATTACCTTCAGGAAGCTGCAAATAAGTCACTTTGACAAAGAAGCGCAGGAAATATACACGCATGATTGTGAGCATGCGATAACCACAATCGATTTAATAGTTTTATTAGCACCATTCGAACAAGGGATTTCTTTTCCAATTAATCAAGGAATGAAGATCCTTCTGTTCTGCTTCGTCAATTGAATGGATTCCTTGGTGAAATTATCTACGCAGTGCGCGCTAGTACTGCACTTTATTGGATTAAATCAAGCTTTGATGTCAGCCCGTCGAAGTGACTTATTTGCAGCTTCCTAAAGTAATAAAAAATATAAGATTCCAGAGAAAATATACAAACACATTGAAAATATACAACATTTAACTCATTTATTACAGCCGATCAAAATTCTACTGCTTCATAACAGATCGTCTCATAGGATAGTAACTGCCATTGTTGCCACGCTCGGCAGCCGGGTTAACAACCGCGGATTTTATAATTTTGAGATATTTTCCGCAAGATAATGCTGCCCATATCCCGTTTTCTGTTTACTTTTGTCGCCTCTTACGACACCCACGAAATGATATAGGCAATATGATTTTGTTTTATAAAATTGAAGTAACAAACGAACATACAGACACCTGCAGCTAATTTCTTACAAAGAACGCTACAGGTGCGTTGTCACCTCTAATGACTAATAAAGATTACCTCACAGGCTGCGATTACACCGGCTCTTTACCCTTTAGATCTGAACACAGCAGTGCAAGCAGTGGTTTATTTTTACCAAGACGAACTCCCAGCAAAAGGTGTATCACCACCTAGTAAATTTCTGACTGCGTAAGACATTCAATTATCCCAAGTTCCAGTCTCATTAAAGTAAATTGAGGACATTACAAAATTGTTT